AACTTTTATAAAGTAAACTTGCCAGCTCCTTCAAATCTTACATTTAAATGTTAAACATTTTTAAACATTTAAATTTATGCTGAAAGCATTAAATCAAATTCAGCAGCATCGATCATCTCAATAAATAAATGTTACATTTATGTATCTGTGTTAAGTTATCAGCATTTATGGCCCCTGAAGCCCTGAGGGCCCGATGGAGCCGCTGGCTTAGTTTGGATTAAACAGAAGTGCAAATAATTGATGTTCATTTTGTATTTGTTTTTGTTTTTAAGTTGTCGGTTTATTAAACAGGTTTTTACTGAACCAGTTTGTTTTCCATAACATAATAAGCCAGTAATATTTTAATGATTCCTGTCAACATTTTTTAATACAAAAACACGGCAGGCGTCCGCCGGGCTGAGCAGGAACCTAAATGTCTGCTCCACTTCGGTCTGATTCTGGTCTGGTCCGCTGTAGTTCAGAGTCGAATCAGCAAATTCACAGATTGGTTTGAACTGAATGTTTGTTTGGACGGGACTGATCGGGACCGAGCCGGACTGGTTCTGTTGGACTCAGTGATTATAATTTGATCTGATTTTATGAGTAGATTAATTAGTGAAGGACGGTCCCGTTTTGGCTGTGATCCTACTTGAACCAGAATGATGCTGAACCCATTGTCATGGTAACCATTAGGTAGCGTCCGTCTCTGTTGATGGTCAGACATATGTAAAGCTGTGGCCCGTGTGTTCCTGAGGTTCTGTTTGTGTTCCGGTCCAGTTTCTCCGGAGGTTCTGGGCTTCCTGACGGCCATCGCGCTCTTCATTATCCTCATGACCTTCCTCTTCTGGTTCCTCAACAACAAGCTGGTTCTGCAGAACCCGGCCAGCCTGCAATGCCTCAACGATTTCAAGAAGAATCCGGAACCACAGGGTGAGTCCTGATGCAGGTCTTCCTTCCACTCAGTGTTCCACCTGACTGAACCAGTTCATACTGAACCAGTTCTTATTGAACCATTTCTTATTAAACAGATTTTTAGTGAACCAGTTCTTTACTAAACCAGTTCATACTGAACCAGTTCGTTGTTCAGATGAATCGGTTAGCTGTCTGGTCTGTTGGATTTCTGGAATCATTTTTCAACTTCTGATTTCTTCTGATCCACGTCGGCTCATATGTTTACATACAGTGAGCCGAGTCCTTACAGAAGTTTGTCTGTCTGGTTAGTTCTGGTGACCGGGTTCTGCCAGGAGGTTCTGGTAGCAGAACTAACTGGTTGGAACAGAACCAGAGACTCCAGGGACTGGAAACTTCTGGAGAACCAGTGAAGCCACTAGAGGCTAGTGGCAAAAGGAATCCGATCGGCTCATGAATATTCATTAATATTTGGTGAATATTACTGAATATTCATCATCTCAGCCTGGCAGAGCTTTGGCTAGGACGCTGAGGTGAGGCAGCGCTCTGCTACCCCCTGCTGGTCGGAAGCTGCAGCTGCAGCACTTCCTGAAAATGTTAAACTAATAATGAATCTATTTCATTTCTCAGGGAGACTACCAGCATGTGGATGAATCAGACGTGCTGGTAACCATGGCGACAGCTTCATGTTTCATGTCCAACTTGATGGATGCTTCTGTTTCGTGCGTCAGGCTTTACTGACTGCTGCTCTTCACAGCCAGCCATTGTTTGCGTCTCCATAAATATTCTTCTGTTGTGTAATGCCATTGCATAATGTCGCTGATTATGAGCCCATCGCCATGGCAACGGCTTTATTCCCAGTTATTCCCAGAAAAACTCCCAGATCCTCACAAATAGCAGGTCCTGCTACTGGGATACTGCCAGATCCTGCTAAACAGTCTTAACAGTCCAGTCCTGGTTCTGGGTTCCGGTTCCCAGAGGACGACAGTCCTTAAGCCTCCTGTCTGTCCCCAGCAGACACGGCGTCCTGCAGCGGCGGCGGCGACTCTTCAGACAGCGACTGCGAGCTGCTGGGTCGGTACCAGGAGGCAGTGGGCCGCTCCCAGGGCCTCAGAGGAGCAGCAGGTACCGCGGGCGGCGCCAGGCCCCGGGGGGGCTTCAGGTGGGAGAGCCGGCAGAACTACAGAGCCCTGACCGGAGACGGCTACAGCAGCGAGGCCTCGGCGGACGATGGTACGATGTAACCATGGCAACACAATGAATGATAGATGGATGGATGGATGGATGACCTGTTAAAGAAAAAGAAGCTAACACTTAACTAGCCTCCGGTTGTGGTAGC